TTATTAGATATAAAACTATAATCCCTATCACACATATATTAAAATGTTAAGAAGTACTGTTAAAACATTTTAGATGTCAAAATAATTTGATCATTATACTGTTAATGTGGTAAACATATATAAGTTATGTTTTGTACTAGTTCAAAACCATTTTTTTGTTTGTCAAATATTTAATAGAATAATTATTAAATTTGAATTTGTATACTTATTAAAGTTTAGTTTCACCATTGTAATTTAATTTTATTACATGTTATTTTTCAATTTAATTATTATATATTCTTATATAAATAATTAACTTCTTTCTTTTTTGTAAAATATGTTTTTATAATCTTTCAAAAATATTTGAATTTCCAACATTATATATCTTATGAATTATGATGTTCATATAAGAAAAATATCTTAGGATATAATACATAAATATGTGTACATATATTTATATATACATGTATATATATAAATATATATGTATATATGTATAAAATTCGGGTATATAATACGGGTAATTAGATATAGATATATGGGTATATAAATACGGATACATGGGTATGGGTATTCAAGTATTTGGGTATTATTACATAAAAACTATATCCGAACCCGAACCCAAAAAAATATAATAACCTATAACCGAACCCGACTCAAAAATCGAATTGTAATGGCCGAATCCGAATCCGAGTCGAGTAAATGGTTCGGGTACCCGTAAAACCCGAATCCATTTACATCCCTATTGGTAGGTGCTAGGTGGCGAGGTTAACTAATGGCCACCCAACTTCTCTATAAATATCAAGGATGCCTCAGCTTCATGTATCAAGCTAAGCAACAATAGTTGAGTAAAGTGAGTGAGGAAGAAAGAGGCTAGTGGGCCAGAATCTGAGAGATAGAAAGGAGAGTGGGAGAGGAAGAGTAACAGAGAGTAAGTTTTCTTCTTGTAATCCTTCTTCCATTGTAATCCTACTTTTATAGGAGAAGGTTTATTTGGATCGGTTAACCGATCCCGTGATTTTTCCCTCTTTAGTTTTCCACGTAAATCTTATCTGCATTGTTTACTCTCTCCCTACTATGTGTGTGTGCTATGTGTGTAAGTAACCGGGACCCAACACTGCGAGCCTACCAAGAAAGCCAAATCATGAGAAAATTCCTCAAAAGTAGATTAGTGCTTGAATAACTAGAAAGAATGAATACCTTTAGCATTTAGGAAGGAATCAAACTAGTCGTCGTATCTAATCAGAGGATTGCATTGGCTTGGTTGAGCTGCTTTTGCTTGAGCCTTATCTTTCCCCTCCACCACTGGATGCATTGTGTAAAGTAGCTAATGGCCTAGTTTTCAAGCCACTTCTGTAACCGAAGGGAACCTAATGAACACTTCGTAAAAAAGACTTTAAAAGCGTCACAAACACCTCTTTTTCTTTTCTATTCTAATTTTTGGATTATTATGTAATATTTCCAAACTTTTTGTACAAACAGATAGACTAGAATAATAAGTGTTATGTCAACAACACTAGAGGAATATAAAATGAATTGAATTAAGACGTGGATGGAATATAATAGAATAGAGCCACTGTGTCGATCTGTTTCCTTCATTTGTAACTTTTTCAGTTCAATACAACATAAGAGAATTTAATATGACAACTTGACTTACTAAACAAGTTTGGAACCTAATGCAGTGTAGTGGAGGGTTTGCTTTAAATTACCTTTTCACTTGTGTTTGGTATCAAAATAATAGGAGCCCCACGGGAAATGATCTACTAAAGAAGTTATTGCAATTATCATAAAATATGCTTCACGATTTTTAAGAGGTCGTTCTTTTTTAATTTTAAAAACACATATTTATAAAGTTGAGACATACCTTTAAGGTATAGTATTTTAGAAATAATAAAATATTATTTTTTATCATGTATTTTTGAAATATATTTCTGAAATTGTGTTCTTTTATATATTATTTTTGAAACAAATGTTTATATGAAAAGATAAAACGTTAGAGGTTCAAATAAAGGAAAAAATAAATTAAGAAAATTATATAAGATTGAATTAACGATATTTAAATATAAAAAAAAGTGAAAAATAGTTAAAATATTAAGAATAATATATATTTAATACACACACATTATATGTGTATGTATATGTGTATATCACGTATTTATGTAAAACATATAAAATAGTACATTAAATAAAATTATATATTATATGTATAAATATATAATATATATTATATGTACATATACATATATATGTTATATGTGTTAATATAAATAATATAATATAATATACGTAATGTATTATATTCTATATTTTAATATACAATAAAATGTATATTATTATATAATATTGTATATAATAAAAATTTTTATCTTAAATATAAGTGAAACAACTTATTTCATAAACTGAATATGATTTAAAAATTGTGCTCAGTTTCAGGAGTAAAATACTTTAATTTTTGGAATTTGTACTCTAAATATATTATTTAACAAAATAATATTTTTAAAATTTTAATTTCAAAAATAGAGACATATACTTTTAAAATCGTAAAAAAAAGGCCCTTAAGAATTTTGATCTCATAGCCTTGATTAAGTCACTAAGACACTTGGGTCTACATAGGCATGAGTTACTGTATGTTTATTTTTTTTAATTATATTATTAATTATATGGAGGGCTGCTAAAAAAAAAAAAATACATTAAAAAACCTCACGAGGAAAAAGACTATCATGATAACGTGAACTCCGAAATTTATGGACTGTCATCATAACGTAAACTCCGAAATTTATTATGGAAAAGCTTAATTTTGTGAGATAGGCTGATTTTGGCTAGCCGGTCCACACAAATGCTTTATTCTGTCTAGTTATACTTCATTTTCACAATTCAGTTCTTGAGATTGGTATGGTAGCTGTTACTGTATTTTAAATTTGAATCTAAATAAAAAATTAAATTGAGATGGCTGTGAAACTGTTGGAATAAGCGCACTGGTCCTACTGGGGGGCCCAATCAGGTCCATTAGACAAAATTTAAAATCAAGACTTGTTTTTTTAAACATTAAAAAAAGATAATACAATATTTGAGAGTGACGGACTATAAGGCATGGGGGAAAAGACTTGCTATTACAAGACCTAGGTTTGCTATATTACCGCATTACTCTTCTTTTTCCATATAACTAAATGTGCTGGATTTTGAAGAAAATTTTATTAATCACACTTTAAAATGATAATTATGGCCATTTTAAAATGAAAATCACTTTCAGAATTATTGCCCTTCATTTACAGTGGGCAATGATTCAATAAATTTCATGTCTGTTTACTTGAAAAGCAGTCAATCCACAATGTGTATTTGATTATTTTGTAAAAAGAGAAGTTCAACAATGCATTATTATATTTGAAAACTTGAAAAAAGGTTGAGAACGGATCATCCTAGTGCGCACTTGATAAGTTGCGAATGTGGTCTAATGATCCAAACTGACAGTGGGTTCCCTTCTTGAAGGAAAATATACACTTGACACAAATGGATCAGCTAGGGGTTGTCCAAGTTCATCTGGTTCTGGAGATTTTTTGGTGATGACAGGGGGTTTTGGCCTCCTGGGAAAATGGGAAAACTCTGAGACTGTTCAGCTTCGGAGTCACAGCTGGTTTATATATAGTAGTGTTACCATCATTTTGGAGAAAGGCTGCAAGGAAAAGGATATCGACAGTTGCCCTGGCAATAGTTGTCTTCCGTTAATCACTTTGTGATAGAAAGGAGCTGGTTGAGGCCATTGATTTTTTAGACTCTGATACCAGATTTTGTTGACTTCTGTAATATAGTAAAAGACATAGAAGAGCTTGTTTTGTCTCTCTCTCTCTCTCTCTTTCTTGTTGGTTTAAAATCAGCAGATTACATTCTTACGGAGGTAAAGAAAATTCTAGCGGATAGCTCTGCTAATGAGTTTTCCTATTTCAAAGATTACGATTAAATTCTCACTTTCCCGGTAATACTTTTAAACTTCCTCCCGTTAAAGAGCATTAAATGAACAAGGGAGAAGTTTACATGCCAACAACTTACAGGATCCTCCGATTTAGTCCTATCATTATCAGCTTGTAGCTCTTCTGGGTCCATGAAAGTAGTAGGTTAAAAACTTGTCGATGTTCTCTCCCTAACCCTCAAGCCCCACATGCGCGAGCTCCTTGCGCACGAGGGAGGGGCCGCTCAGAACAAGTCCTCCATAGCTCGGAATACTCGATGATTTTCATTTCTTACTTGTTCAATTTGGATTTTAAGAAATGGCTAATGAAGTAAAAAATGAAGCATCCATCCACGAGCAGGATCCTTGTGAATTCCTCGTCATTCCAGTTGTCAGTTGAGTTCTCTGCATAGTGATCTCTCTGTTGTTTGTACAAGTCTTGAAGACAGTGTGCATCATGAGAGACAAACTTTCTTGTAAGCCTCTCCTTAATATGATATACTAAAACGGACCCAACTTTTCCCATTTTATTCCCATCCACCATTGTCGATAGAATTGCTCTAGTACTAATCTATCGCGCAAAGGATTTAGTCGCCTTTGGTTACTTCACCCAGAAGGCATATTTGGAATAAGGGATTTAACTCAGGGCAATAGCAAGTAATTCAATCTGAAATACCTTTTCGCACATCAAGTTTGGTAGCACTCTGCTCTTGGCTGGATGAAGATGAGGCAACAGGGGAGCTGCTCAAACCAACTTTGCTGATTTCAAAATAAATTAACTAATATATTATTACATACAAGTTCAACGTTGAAATTACGATTTCTAAGAAGGACCATCACTTCTATTATTTCCTCTTTAATGGGCAATGCAGTTATTAATGTGGAAAGTTAAAAGATAAATAAGAGAAGGGTAATTATGAATGACAAAATTGGTAAAGGCAAACTGTGATATACCCTCCAAAATTTGATTCTGTTGACTCTCATTATCAAGTCAATTAAACAAAATATCCACTTGTCTATATATACACAGATGCAAACGAATAGCATTGTGGGGAGAGAGAGAGAGAGAGAGAGAGAGATGGAAGCCATGGAGAACAGACTCTGTGAAGCAGCAATCACAGGGAACGTGGAGTCGCTGCACGAAATACTTCAAGATGACAAGCTAATTCTAGATAAATTTGTAGTGCGATGCTTTGGCTGGACTCCCCTGCATGTGGCTGTATCTCTCGGGCATGCGGATTTCATGATAGAACTGCTACATCTCCAGCCCAAACTGGCTCAAGTCTTGGACTCCGCAGGTCAGTCACCACTTCATTTAGCAGCGGCCGCTCAAGTCTCGGACCCTGCAAGTCAGTCGCAACTTCACTTAGTAGAGGCTCCTCAAGTCTTGGACTCTGCAGGTCAGTCGCCGATAGCAGCGGCTGCTCAAGTCTCAGACTCCGCAAGTCAGTCACCGATAGCAACGGCTGCACAAGTCTCAGACTCTGGAAGTCGGTCGTCGGTAGCAACTGCTACTCAAGTCTCAGACTCTGTAGATCAGTCAGCACTTCACTTAGCAGCGGCCATTGCCACCCTGATATTGTGAGAAAATTAATAGATGCGGCCCCGATATGTGCATGGTGCGTGATCGAGAAGGCCGAAATCCTATTCATATTGCAGCAATAAAGGGGAGAGTGGAGACATTAAAAATGCTATTCCAAGCTTGCCCAGAGGCAGCTTTTGTGAGGGTGGACCGAGATGAGACCATCCTGCATCTTTGCGTCCGGTACAAGCAGTTGCAAGCTCTTGAGAGCTTGCTAGACCTGATCAAAGATGACGAGTTCTTATTTGCCGTGGATGCCAGCTGCCAAACCATCTTGCAGCTTGCTATGTCCCTTAAAGAACCCAAGGCATGTGAAAGTTTTAAGCACCTTCCTGTTTTTAATTAATATTCACATTAACATTGTTGTTTCCTCGTTAATTCTTTTCTCACATAATAGATTATTTAAGAGATTATATTTTTTAGTTAGTTTGAAAAGCTCTTCAAAGCTCTTCATCTCAGAAGTACCTATGACATTGTTAACAATTAGGGTTTGACCCAAATTTGGTGAGTCCAAATTTAAGCCGATAACTAGATGTTTGAATCCATTAAATATAAATTTAGATCCTATCATTTTTTTTAACTTTTCTTTCTAAAGTTTTCAATCTTTACCTTTTTTCCAAGTTTTTAACATTTCTTTAATTCTTTTGAAAATTTTATTTTTCTATAGCTCTTTTTCTTTTTAATTTTTTTCCAATTTTCTTTCTATTCCACTTTTTTAAAATTTTTTTCAGCTTTCTCTGTACATATTTTCTCTATACGTTTTTTAACTTCCTCATTCTAAAATTTACTCTTTCTTCTTTCTAATTTTTCTTCAAGTTTCTCGCTCTATTTTTTAAAATTTTTTCTCCACCTATTTCTCTTTTCTAGTTTTACCAACCTTTTCATCATAATTTTCTCTCTCTAAATTTTTCAAATTTCTCTCTCCATCTCTTTTTCTTTTCTAATTTATGTTAACTTTACCTCTTTAAACTTTTTCAACATTTTCACTCCAACTCTCTTTTACTAAACTGTTTTTCAACTTTATCTCTTTAAAATTTTCTCTCTCTTCCTTTTTCTCATTTTATTTTTTCTATAATATTTTCTTATGAAAATTTTCTAGCTTTCTTTGAAGAAAATAAAAATAATTATTATAAAAAATTTAATTTTTTTATATTTGTTAAGTTTTATTAATATTGAAGTAAAAGAATAACGGATCTAATTGTATCCAAATATTACCCTTCATTGATTACTTTTTAAAAGGGGTTTGGCCCAGTTAGAAAACTTGTTGCATTGGAGTTCTTAAACTTGGCCTTTTCGGGTGGGGCATTTTTTTAATGAATTCTCTTTTCTGTCCCGGCAAAAAAAATTATGTTACAAACTAAGTTAATTATTTTAATTATTTGTGAAATGATCTGATTTTTCAATTTTCACGTGATATATAACGTAATCATAAACTTATTTTAATCAATTAATGAATAAAAATAATGATAACAAGTAACAACACTAGCCTTTAATTTATGTTATAACCTCGTTATCTTTCGATGAACCTCTTTCCTATTACTTTCTGTTTTAGATAGAAGCAATACTGCCTAAGAAAATGAAAGAAGAATGGGCATTAATTCAACTCCTACCAGTTGGGCTGAATCAGAGGAGCAGCGAGGCAATAATGCTTGTAGCATCAATTATGGCAACAGTGATGTATCAGGTTGTTGTGAACCCTCCGGCTGGAGTTTGGCAGGATAACTCTGAGACACATAGGGCCGGGGAATCTATAATGGCTTACCATTATCCACATGTATATTCATTTTTCATTGTTGCTGCCATAGTTGGATTCATTACCTCTTGCGGAGTAATGCTCGTGGCATTGAGTGGGCGGCCATTTAAGAAAAAGCGAACCTGGTGGTATACGTTAGTTCTGATGTGGTTGGCACTTCTGTGTATGGGAGTTACTTTTAACATTTCCATCCGTTGCTTGACACCAAGAAACTACAAAAAGAAACTCATTTCCCAAGTTGTATTAGTGATAGTTGAATATTTGTCTGGGGTGAGTATGTTTTTCGTTCTTACTTCAATCATCATGATTTTCATTCAATGTAAGTATCGATGAGCAAGCCACCGATTGGAACAAAACAGAAGGCTCACACAAGTTGAGATAATGGAAGCCAAATTGTTCATTTAAATTCAAAATGTTTACTTTACCAGAAATAGCATCTGTGTGCATACTCATTACATGGTTTCATTTGAGAAGAATGACTTGTGAAAACTAATGCTTAATTATTTGTACAAACACATGGTATTTTAATTTTAATAATAATGTATTAATTAATGTACATATAAAAACAATACTTTCCTATTTTCCATCATATAATAATAGATTGTAAATTAAATATACCTTTATACAAATACAATGGACCCAACTGATACTACTAAAAGAAATTGTGTAACTTTAAGATTACATGAACATAACTTTGTTCAACCAAATTCAAATTGATCTGGGAGGATCTTTTGGGGTGTTTGATATTTTGTAGAATTGTTTCAAGTTTTAGAGTTTGAAGGAAAAGAAAAATAAATTGATCACCTAATGACCTTCTTCAATATCTTCATGGGACATAGAAAGGGTTTCTTCCTATCTTTTATGCATCAGTCTAGCAATCAGAACAAAATAAACTCTTTGAAAGTGGCAAGGCAATTAGATGTTCCCATGCTGGGTGAGGTTGTAGCCATTTTAAACCCACTCCTACTGTAATAGCCTTAAATTTTAAATTAAATGTTGGAATTTTTCGGTTATGGGTGTTAGTGAACTAATTGGGTGTTTTGGGGGTTGAATTGAGGATTTGGGAGGACCTGTCCGTAAAAATTAATAGTTAGGGGGTGATTTGTGAAATTTCGAAAAGATTTGAGACCAATTTCAGAAAATTAGGGGTTAAATTGAGAGAAATGGAAAAGGGGAGAGCTGGGTGTGAGGAGTCCTAAGTTCGGGGGACCAATTTAAAATTAGGAGGGGGCGCTAATTGCAGGAAAGGAAAAGTTGAGGCCAAATTGTGACAGGGGCAAAATTTTCAGCTGGAACTCAGCCGAAACCCCCTAAAGCTAAATTCACTCCAATGGGAGCGAGACAGCTTACCAAGTTTTGGGTATGTTTGAGTGGCTGAAAGGCGAGCTCGAGGAGAGTGAGCAATTCGAGTATTGGAGTGAAGATTAAAGAGGAAAGGAGCTGGGGAGGACCGAAGTGCTGACGGGTTCTGTCTAGGAAAATTCTGGGTTTTCAACTCATTTCCATCCGATTAAAAACTAGAAATTGGCTTGAGCAGTTCGAAATTTAGGCTTGGGGCATTAATTCATGCAGGTATGTCAAAATCTTGAAAATTTTGAGATTAAAGGGGGTTTGAAGGTGTTGCAGACCCGAGTCTACGACCTGGGTTTCCAGGTGAAGATGACGGGACCCGGATGGGTCCAGGTCCCTGTGCAAGGCCGACCTGGCCTGTTGGGCCTGGGCTCGGCCTAGAAGAGTAGCAGGCCTGCGGGCCTGAGTCACGAGCTAGCCCAGGCAATGGCTGGGCTAAGTCGACTCGTTGGGTTGACTCGGCCCAGTGAAAAAAAAAAAGGTTAGGGTTTTTGGCAGGGTGAACTGGCCAATGTTGGCGAAAGAATTGGCTGGCCGGTTCGGCAATTTTTAGACCAGTTCTTTAGGTGTTGGGCCCAGTTCCTAGTTCGGGGGGATGAGGGCTTTTAGGACGAATGGGTTTGGGGATTTTTGGAGGGCCGGTTCAAGGTGAACTGCCCGATTCAATGTGTCACCTTTTGGCAACCGGTTCACAAGGTTTTTGGCCGGTTCTTGGGAGGTTGAACTGGTTCTTGGTTCAACATGATGAAACCTAGTTAGCCATGAAATTTGGTGGTGCTAGGTGTATGGTTCGAGGTGAACCGGGCTCAGTTCAGTGTACCAGTACTTAGGAGCAAGGTTCTTGACCGGTTCAAGGCTGATTTGAGGGATTTTTGGCCGGTTCAGGGTGGGTTCTAGGGTTTTTTGACCTTCTGAATCCGTTTTTGAGGGTTTCGTGGCCGATTTGGTTAAGTTTGAGGTAGTTTTACACTGGGTTAGGTTGGTTCAAAGATTTTAGAGACCAGTTCACTATGGGTTGGGGATTAGGGAGGCTGGTTCTTTACTGTTAAGGGTCGTTGAGCTGAAGTGTTGAGTGTTAATGAGTCGTGTGGCCCCTAGTGATGGGTAGTGGTGCTTCAAGATGCGTGCCAAGGGTGCTGGCATGGGATTTGAGTCTAGTTTTGGGCTGTCGAGCCCATTTCTTATGCTAGTGATGGGGTTGGTGATGGTTTTGTGTGGTTCTGGTTTCAGATTCACCCGTGGAGGAGCACCCGAACAGTATTGGTTGAGGTAATCTGAGACTTCTCTTTTGACTCGGCTAATACAGTGAGTGATGATACTCTCTCTATGCATGTGTTCTCATACCTGTTTTCTAGCATGATGATTGCCTGGATTTGCAAACTGTGTTTTGATACATGAACCTCGGGATATGTTATGTGTTTTTTCATTATTGTTTAGTGAATATGTTGATATGTTAGACTGGTTTTGAGATTTGTGGACTGCATTGTTTGTATATCTGTTTGTTTGGCTGTGTGGCGAGTCGGTGATGCACCGAGACCGTGTGGCTCTGGTCGTGAGATAGAGAATGCCTCTCGACTGGGAGCGTGTTAGAGGTGCCCTTGGTGGGCGTGGTGTTCTAAGGAGCGTGTTGGTGATTTTATTGCAATCTCAATGATTGCTATACTTTCGCATATGTATGTTTTGAGAAGTGATACGTGGAGGGTCAAGCGATGCACTGAGACCATTTACTCTAGTCGTGAGATGGAGGATGCCTCTTGACCAAGAGCGTAGTGTGGTTGCCCTGGTGGGCGTGTGGCTCCAGTCGTGAGATGGAGGATGCCTCTCGACTAGGAGCATGATATGTGATTGTGTTGGGGTCTGATCGTGAGACGGGAATTCCTCCGATCGAGGCCGGAGTCTC